GGGGGGGGAGACACCCCTTGCCCCGTTCCTCCAGGGGCCAAGCTGAGCATTTGCTGCCCCCCATAAAGGGTCTTTCCACCTCTGGCAAATCCTTAACTTGGTTTATTGGCTGTCTTGTCCTTGTAGGTAAACTATGGTTTATGGCTTCAGGATAGCATATCGCCTTCCCGATGTGCTGTTTGGGTAACCCCTGTCATTTCCTAGACAGCAGTAGAATCGATCAGCCTGGCTGGGGATTATGGGCGTTGCAACCTGCGATGGCAGGTAGAGATTATAAGGATTACGGTCCAGCGCCATTTAAAGTCTCAAATTATTTTGATCATGTTCACCTTACTTAGGCTGTCTTCTTCACTGTCCCTGCCTAAATCACCATTATAATAATCTTTTTTTTATTTTGCTACCTATTAGGACACTAAAAATATTTTGGTGTTACCCTTGAATTCTTTCCCATTGGATAATGCTGTTGTTTTGAGTAATCCTTCTACCGCACAATTGCCGTTTCTTGTTTCTTGCTGATCCCGGTCAGGCTACAATTAATCCTCAACTTACGACAATTCATTTAGTGACTGTTCCAACTTACAACGGCACTGAAAAAAGTGACGTGACCGTTTTTCACCCTTACGACCTTTGTAGCATCACGTGGTCAAAATTCAAACGCTTGGCTACTGACTCACATTTATGACGGTCGCAGTGCCCCGGGGTCATGTTTGCAACCTTCTGACAAGCAAAGTCAGTGGGGAATCTGGATTCACTTAACGACGGTGTTACTAACTGAACAACTGCGGTGATTTCCCTTAACAACTGTAGCAAGAAAGGTTGTAAAATGGGAGCAAAACTCACCTAACAACTGTTTCGCTTAGCAAGACAAATTTTGGGCTCAACTGTGGTCGTAAATGGAGGACTACCTGTATTACGACTTATTGTGTTTTTATTTCCAGTAGCTTAAAGGGGGGAACCTCATTTTTCAATTTATTGGAAAACCTTATTTCCCATCCTTAGGATGTTATAATGGCTGTATATTAAACTATGGTTTGTTTTAGCTCTGGTTTACTACGGGAGCTTCAATCGCTTGGGCTCAGTCTGAACTGGGCCATAATGCAGTTCATCGGTGGCTTAGCTGTTACGCCAAGTTAAACATTCGGTGTGTAAATCGTGGTTCGTGGCAGAGTGTGTTGTGCCATCCACCGACGTGTGGTTAAGTCAACAAACCTAGGTTAAGCCATGGGCCTTTCAGAGAGCGCTTGGCTCTCCTTAATACAACCTGTTTTTTTTCTCTTTATGTTTGTCCATCTTTCTTTGTTTACACTCATTATTTAAATAAACACATTTGCCGTACCTGTAAACAACTTGGTTGCGTTTTAACTCTTTCCCTGGTTTTGTACCATGAAAACATTCCAAGATTAGCTTTTATACCTCTGTTTTCTGAAGGTGTAAAAGGGTTTTTTTCCCCTTCTATCTAGTTGATGTCTAGGAAGAGTCTCCGTCATCCAGGTCATCGTGGTATCAAAAATGCTTTTTATTTTGGAAAAGGCAACCGGACGGATTTTTCTTCTGGTTGTCCTCAACATACGACCACAATTGAGCCCAAAATTTCTGTGGCTAAGTGAGACATTTGTTAAGTGAATTTCCTCCCATTTTGCGACCTTTCCTGGCCACCGTTGTTAAGTGAATCACTTGTAGTCGTTAAGCTAGTCACACGGTTGTTAAGTGAATCTGGCCTTCCCCTTGACTTTGCTTGTCAGAAAGTCACAAAAGGGGGTCACGTGACCCCGGGATGCTGCACACCGTCGTAAATAGGAGCCAGTTCTAGTGTCCAAATTTTGATCACGATGCTGCAACGGTCCTAATTGTGGAAAACGGTTGTAAGTCACGGTTTTCGGTGCCGTCGTAAGTTCGGACGGTCACTAAATGAATTGCTGTAAGTCGAGGACTATCTGTATTCTCTCCTGGTGTGCCAGCTTTTCTGCTTTATTCCGTACAGTAGTGGCCAAAATTGTGGAAACCTTTTGGAAAAAGTGTATTTGTGAGGTTTGATGGCTGATAACAACACTTTTTGGGGGGAGCAGTACCATAAAGTTATATAGCGACGGATAGATCGTTTAATCAAGCACGTAATGCAACAAAGTTTGTTCAGTTATCTGTATTCTGTGAAAAGTTATAGCCAAAGAGCCAGAAAAAGGAAGCACAACTTGCTTAGGTTGATCTCAGGTAGCTTTCCTTCATCTGACGTTAGCCAATGAGCACGGGTCTTTAGAGAGCCAATCGGGTGTCCTCTTGTTTTGCCGATGAGCCAATCAGATCACAGTAAGATTCAGTTATCGATGTCCCGTATTGCAGCTGAGCGGAGGACATTTGTCAGTGTGTGATGTGATCGCTATCAAGTTGTGGGGGGTTTTTTTGTGTTCTTTCCTTTAGCGAGCTTGCAAAACGTAGTAAAATTAAAGCCATGGTGCAAAGAGCTGACTGGTCGCCCAGCAAGCGATGTAAAATAGTATTATTAAGCGAACAAGGCTACAGCTACAAAGAAATTAGTAGAAAAATGGGTGGGAACATTACCAAAGGTGGCATTTCTAAGTTTTTGAAGAGGTATAAGAAGACTCAGTCACTACAAAACCACACTGGCAAAGGCAGGAAAAGGTGCACAACAGCAAACGACGATAGAAGAATTAAGAGGCTGTGCCTACGAGACAGAGGAAAATCATCGGGGTGTATACAAGATGAAATGGCGCAATGCAGTGTGAAGTTGAGTGCAAGGACTGTTCGGCGCAGACTGCAGGAATTTGGCCTAAAATCTAGAATTCCACGAAAAAAGCCACC